TTTTCTTGTCATTTTCTTTATTTAGGTTTCTTTTTCTGCTTTCTGAGTTAATTGACTATTTTGCATACTTTTATTTATTTAACTCTTTTATGTTGGGGGACCACACTCAGAATTACTCAGGACCTACAACTGGCCCTGCCCTCAGGGACCACTCTTGGTTGGGTTTAGGAGACCATATGTGGTGCCAGAGATTAAACTGGGATTGGCCACATGCAAGACAAGCACCTTAACAACTGTATTATCACTAATATTTATCACTAATAGCCCTTAATATTTAAACCAAATTTCATTTTATTTACTTATAGTACTTTGGAGTGTTTGTCTTTGTATACATTTTTAGTGGGCTGCTCTTTTCATTATGTTTCCCCTACATTAATTTTCATAATCTTCTGTTACTGGATCCCCTACTGACACTCCTCCCAAACCATCTGGGGGATGTTGCCCTGTTGATTTTACATCTGGGGGTTCTCCTTGAGGTGAAAGAGCTTCCTAGACATTGCCAAAGAGGCAAAGGACAGTGTCAAATGGGGCATCAGCCACCCATAATTTGAGATCATTACTTCTCTATTATGAGCAGTTGGTCTTGGCTCAGGTCTGTTCCCTTTGTCAGGGGGTTGTGTTAATTGAGTTACTGTCACCCTTCTGTCTCACCCATTGCTGTGCTTCCATGGCTCATCAACTCACCAGGGATACCCATAATTCTCTGTGCCTCTGTTAAACTTTGTGCTGTACTTCCCCGACATTGTTTCCCAGTCTCTCACCATCACCTACCCACCTTCTCTTGTGTTTGCTCTTCCCTACATCTGGTCTGTGAACTGGGAATAAAGATTGTTGTTTATTTTCTGGTGATCTTTCTGCATCCTATTCCTCGTCTATGACTGCTGGGGAATGCCTATCAGCCCTGAATGCAGCAGCCCCACCCAGGGACCCCCTTCACTGCTGAAGGGTGACTTTGAGCTTAGAAACATGAACAGGACAGCAAAAGACTGCATTCAGTGGACCCCCACTTAGGGAAGTAAGTGGGATAGCAGAAAGACTGTGTTCCATTTAGGGTATTGGGGAGTATACATCCAGTCATATCCCCACTCAAAGGAGTGCCAGAGAACAAAGAACTTAATAAAGATTCTATGGTACATGTATACAATGTAATAATATGCAGCTGTTAGGAAAAATGAAGTCATGAAATTTGCCTATAAATGTATGGAAATGGACAGTACAATGTTGAGTGAAAGAGTCGGAAGGAAAGAAACAGATATAAAATGACTGCATTCATTTGTGGTATATAAAAAATAGTATGAGACTAATACCCAAGGCCAAGGAAAACATGGTCTAGGAGGACTGGTCAATGATTGAAATCTACCACAAGTGTGTGTGGGGCACAAGTGTGGAAATGATCATGCTGGACAAGAACTGAGTATTGAAAGTAGGAAAAGAGATATAACTTAATATGATAGGTAAAGGAATATGATAACATGGTAGCCTTTCAGTACCTGTGTTGCAAACCACAATGCCCCAAAGGAGAGAGAGAGGAGGAGGAAGATGAAGAAAATGAGGAGGAGGAGGAGAATGAGGAGGATAAGGTGGAGGAGGAGGAGGAAGAGGAAAAAGAGGAGGAGGAGGAGGAACAAGAAGGAAGAGAAAGAGAGGGAGAGGGAGAAAGATAGGGGGAGAGGCAGAGGAAAGGGAGAGGGAGAGGAAAAGGAAGGGGGAGAGAGAGAAGGAGGAAGAAGAAGAAGGAGGAGGAGGAGGAGGAGGAGAAGGAGAAGGAGGAGGAGAAGGAGAAAGAGGAAATGCCTGCCATAGAGGCAGGCTAGGGGTGGGGAGCTGGAAAATGCTGTCTGGCAGAGGGATGGGTGTTGGAATACTATATGACTGAAACTCAATTATAAACAGCTTTGTCATGATCTATCTCATGGTGATTAGATAAAAAATAAAAAATTGTAAGAATTACATAAAATCTCCTTCCAAACGTCACTAGCAGCTTACTCTTTAAGCTCATGTTTGCCTTTGAACATGCCTCTCGCTTACTTTATCATGTCTTTTTGATTTCTTGCCTGCTCTTTCAAGCTCGTGATCTCTCTTGCAAATTGTTTTTTTCTAACATGCTCATATCTTCTTAGGTAATTATATTCAATAAAAATATCTTGCTTCACTATTTTCCCTCCTCTTGAAAATCTTTTTTTGTGATTGAAAGGCAATGGACCCTGAACATCTGTTCACAGCTGAATTTCCTTCCGCCCCCTAAGAGCTTGATTCATGGTTCCAAGTAATTAAGTGGTAGGGATCATCTTCCACATTGCCATGTAGAACAACTGTATTTCAAGTGAAACTTGATGGCTATCTCATGGGGCTGGCAAGACCTGAACATCTGTTCCATGTAGAAGCTTGTTTGTTGCGACTTTACTTGTCCTTACTCTGAACAGTCATTTCTCCGAATGTAGGAGAGCTATGTGTGTCAATTAGAGAGGTACAAGCACTCTCTTCTCAGTCTACATCCTTCATTCTTCACTTTACATACCACTCACAACACATTAAACACTTAATTTACTTGGTGATAAAATAACAGTTTTTCTGACACTACAGAAATTATGATAAAGTATCCATTATTTTGAAATAAGGCTTATGTCTATTACCTACTTTAAAAATTTGACTTCTATTTGGAATGGACTTTTCAGGTTCAATGGAAAAAGTACCTGCACTCTTAGTTCAGTCACTTTTATCTGAAACTAATTGAACTCTTTATATTAATTTATGTAATTAGAAGTAGAAGTACATTGGGCTGGAGGGATAGCACAGTGGGTAGGGTGTTTGCCTTGCACACTGCCGACCCAAGTTCGATTCCTCTGTCCCACTCAGAGAGCTTGGCAAGCTACCGAGAATATCACGCCCGCACGGCAGAGCCTGGCAAGCTCCCCTTGGCATATTCAATATGCCAAAAACAGTAACAAGTCTCACAACGGAGACATTAGTGGTGCCCGCTGGAGCAAATCAACGAATGATGGGAAGACAGTGCTACGGTGTGCTACATTAGAAGTAGATACTTAATAATAATACTTCCCAATGTTTTATGCAAGAAGTTGGATACTCATTTCTAGCTTGTTTAAATTTAGATTTGTTTGGTAAGTTGTACATATTAAGGTAAAGGTAAAGGCCCTCCCGTTGTTCATCGATTTGCTCGAGCAGGCCCAGTAACGTCTCCATTGGAGACTTTGTTGTTACTATGTCTGGCATATCAAATACATCACGGGGAGCTTGCCAGGCTCTGCCGAGCGGGCGATATACTCTCGGTAGTTTGCTGGGCTCTCCGAGAGGGGCGGAGGAATCGAACTCGGGTCGGCCATGTTGGCTGCGTGCAAGGCAAATGCCCTACCGCTGTGCTATCGCTCCATTATCTGTTTGTATTTATTTTCTAATTATTTATTTGTTCATTTCGAATTTTAAGCCACAACTAAATGTACTCCTGGTGTACTCCAAGCTCCGTACTCAAGAATCGCTCCTATCAAGCATCAGGGAATCATATATGATGCTGAAAATTGAACCCACATGCAAAGCGAGCACCTTACCCTGTGTACTTCTGCAACCCCTGAATTAATATGTATAGAAATATTTGAATTTTCTGTTAAAAAGATATAAATCCATGAAAGTGAGGCATTAATCTCTGATCTACAACCCATTGTCATATTTTTTATTCTCTAGGGATAGAGAATGAGTATGTACATTTACACATATACATCTATATACACATATATTAGTATATAGATACATACTTATACATATATATTATTCCAAGTGCATTTTCACCATTATTTTCTAGCAGAATATTTTTTTCTTTTACTCGCAGAGTATTTGTTGTTTGGTAATGTCTTCAGGGATTCCATTTTGTTTACCAACATTTCTGCTTACTTTCTTAAAATATTTTCCAGCAACTGAGTTTCTCAGATAATCTGGATGATCTAAGAAATGCATATTTTCCACTAGGATCATAGTATTGTCCAACAAGACCTAATATTAGGAGAAAAGTGCATCTCAATCAAAGATTCAGTATGGCATATATTTTTAGGAGACAAAGAAAATTACTAAGGGGTTAAAGCACCATCACTTTAATGAAAAAAGTAAATTGAGTAACCAAAGTTTAGATATTATCCTTTTCGGATAACAGAAAAATAGAGTATATAATTTTAGAATTTTACAATTCCATTTCTTATGTTTGCTTATATTTCCTATGTTTGCTGTTCCCTTTCTGTATTTCCTAGTATAAATAACTCGTGTTTTACAGAATACAAAGAAACAGTCCAATGTGATATATGTTTATTAAAGGTTTTCTTATGAACTAAAAAAACTTTTTCAATAACACAATGCAAAAAATTCAAGTTAAAATGTAGCTGAGCAATGGAGACTTTCAGATCCAAATTTACAAAATAAAGGAATATAAGTGGAAAGCATTTATTCTGTTTTCCCTAGATTTTTCTTTTGCCTTATACCCTTGACTTCATATGAAGTATGTATTTCTTACATGTGTATTAAGTATGTATTTCTTTCTTCTATAAAGAGAAGGCACTAAAATAAACACCAGGGAGATCCCACATAGAAATAAGATAGGACATTTTCCTCAAGGTCATTGGAAAGGTAAACCAGATAATGAGAAGGCATGTTCTTGGAGAAGGATAAGAGAAAGGCAAGAAACTTTTCATATTATGAAGAAGCAGGGAGGGTGAACTTCTCCATCTCAGCTTAGGAGTCTTTCAGAAGAAAGGAGAGTGTTGTGTTCACACTTAACTCTACAAGCAGCTTTCAAACTTTTCTGAAGACCTAATATTGCAGCTCTACAGGTGAAAATCAAGACACCCTGATTTATAAAAACAAAACAAAACAAAACACTTCTTTTCAAAGCAGGCCTTCCACAATGTACCATAGTGTCCTCTCCATTAAAAAAAAAACTTCCTTATCATTTGTCAGATTTGTCATGTCAAAAGTCTATCCCAATATTTGGGTCATTTTACATCATCTATATGTATTAGGGAAAGTTGGTACAACTCTAAAACAGGGCTAAAGAACGTTACTTGATGACTGAAGTCTTGATGACTGAAGTCTTGAATGTCCTGGAAAAAAGAGAAAAAGATATATATATACTGAAAAGATATGGATGCAAACCTTTAGCCAAACAAAAGATTCTCAGACCCAGACTACTCTTTCTCCTGAGACTTAACTTACACAACAATTTTACCACGAATGCTAGAGAATAGTGACTGAGAGCATATAACACATAAAGTTTCTGTCACAAAAATTTGAATTTCAGAAATTTAATGTCTCTTCCTGAATAATTCCCAGGATGATAGCCTGAGATCTCTGTGAATATTAACATTTTTCTTAACCCAATTGGCAATAGCATATCAGATTTCAAAATAGAAACCCTGGTTTGTTGAGTTCTGAATTTCCAGGAAATTTGAGCTTAACCAGGTAAAGTAAACTTTGTTTAGGGGCTAAGATATATTTAGGATTAAATTCAGTTGGTTGGTCGGTCCTCCCGTTGTTCACTGATTTGCTCAAGCGGGCCCAGTAAAGTCTCCATCATGAGACTTGTTGTTACTGTGTTTGGCATATTGAATGCATCACAGGTAGCTTGCCAGGCTTTGCCATGCGGGAGAGATACTCTTGGTAGCTTGCCAGGCTCTCCGAGAGGGGTGGAGGAATCGAATCTGGCTCGGCTGGGCTGGCTGCATGCAAGGCAAACGCCCAACCGCTGTGCTATCGTTCCAGACCAGGATTAAATTAAAGAAAATAATATTTTATTTTCTTAGCAAAGTCTAAGTGAGGGAAATGCTGTCTGAGCCACAAGGTCCCTTACCTTTCTGACTCTCGTAGTTGATCAACAGGCCTACGGCAAAGAAGAGCAGGCCCAGAACAAAGCCCCCAATTCCACTCAGTATCTTGCTCAGTGAAATTTCACTCTCTGCCTCTAAGAAACAAAAAGAATTTTAGTGATTTGACTCCAAATATGTTTTTTATAATTTACAATCTGACATTAGGAGCTTTGAAGAAGGTAAAAGTTAAACTCAAAGAACCAGAGTAACTGACCATTTCTAGAAAAGAAACTGAAAAATCCCAGGGAGTAGTAACACAATTCGGGTATTAAGCTTACTTTAGGTGTTATATCCTTGACCTAAAGGCAACACATCTATAATTGATGATGAGACCCTGGGAATCAAGGATATTCACTGGTTCAAGATGACAGAAGTAACAAAGGGCAAAGGTGAGATTAGGCTCCATTCTTGAAAGATCATTATACTGTAGGGGATATGCTTTTCTGAAACCAAAATGAAAATTCAAGCAGAAGCATCAGAATTGCTTCAGCTGGAAATAGAGGACTGACTTATGGCCAAATTCAAAGGATGGCCATAATATTTGGTGACATGAAAAGTCAAAATCAGAGAAACCTGTCCTCTGCAATGGAGAAATTGACTTTAGGATGTATAGGTATGTGTAGAAAATACCACGTAATGTTATACTATAAGAGACTATCACAGCATCACAGTGCCAACCAGAATAAATGTGCTGAAGAAAAGGGGAACATGGGAGAAATGAAAAATGGTGTGAAAAGTGGGAAATGTGACATGCAGGGATGAGGAAATGTGTCTACATTGGTAGATGAAACACTTCTGAGATCAGAAATATACTCACTCCATTCTACTGTGATGGGGCTCTGGAGGCTTGGGTGCTCCACTTGACAGCTGTAGATGTCTCCACTCTGAGGAACTGATTCAAGCATCACCAGAGTCTGGAAGGTCCAGTCTCCATTACGGATGAGACCTGTGGAGACAAGCCCTGCCTTCTCTTCCTGGCCATTTCGGAACCACCTGACTTCAATGTGACCCGGATAGAAACCATTCACAGAACAGACCAGGAGGTTGTGGTGCTGCAGGTGCGGGATCTTTGAAGGAAACACGGTCACCATAGGCTCAACTAGGATGGAAAAATGAGCAGGAAAAAAAAATAACGTTTTTACTGGCAGTTCTTTTGTTCTTTACAAGAACAGATTCAATCACAAGTAGGATCCCATCAAACTTGGTCCCAAAGTCGCATACAAGAAGATAGTGTTTTGCATCTTGAACTCAATCTTTACAGTATTAGTCCATTGGATTTGAGCAAGGTTGTGGACACTTGTACACTGCTTTCTATTTTTCTCTTCTTTTTTGATTCACTGTGGAGCTGTGTTTACAAATATTTTGGACCATAGTGCATTTGTCATTTAATTTTTTTATTAACTCATCATTATGTACAAAATTATTCATAGTTGAGTTTTAGATATGTAATACTTCAACAGTGATCCCACCACCAGTGTCATTTCCCTCCACCAGTGTTCCTATGTTTCCCCACATAACCTCCTCAGCTCCTCCGGTTTGCCTTCTTGACAAAGGGCAATATAGTATATTAAGGTTTGATTTCAGGAATCAAGGTGCCTGATTCAGAGTGAGTATCTATGTCTTATTGACTATTAAAGAGATGCTTAATTTTTTATGTTCATCTTTATTTTCTAAATGGCCTTTAATATTTACCTTCTAGTATTATGTGGGGACTAATGTACATGTAGAATGTAAAGCAAAACTTCGAATTTAGCTTTCAAATCTCAGTTTTAACTTTCCACATTTTCTTCAGGTGAAAATATGTTTCAAATACAGTGGATACATGTCCACAAAAAATCATGATCATGATCACGATCATTCTGTTGTTCGTTGATCATGTTGATCATTCTGTTGCCTTGAGCAGGCCCCAGTAACGTCTCCTTCGTCCTAGCCCTAAAATTTTTTAAAACTGCCATATTCAAGGCTCTTTCATGGTTAGGAGAATGAGACCCATCATTGTTACTGGTATTTGGCATATTGGGTACGCCACGGGGAGTTTGCCAAGCTCTGCCATGTGGGCAGGTTACATTTGGTAGCCTGCCAGATGTCTGGCTGCGACATCTGTCACCCCCCAATGATCGCCAGGGTCCACAAAAAATGGTGGATTGAATTGGTTCTGGGGAGGAATAATAGATTTTAACAAAACACTCAACAAAGTATGAACAGAAGAAACATGCTCCATCATAATAAAGTCCATAAATGTCAAACCCAAAGACAACATCATAGTCAATGTAGAAAAAAATAAAATTTTCCCTTAAGATCATGAATCAGACAAAGATGTTCACTCTCACCAGTAACCATTAATCATGTCTTTGGAAATCCTCAATCAATTAGGCAAAAATAAATAGAGCAGAAATCCAAGATGAAAAAGAAGTATTAAAAGTATCATCATTTTCAGATAGAGTCCTTCTGGAAAAAATATGCTAAGATAGTTTGTAAATACAGTAAACTGGGAGGATACAAAAATCAATGTTAAAGACCTGTAATAGTTCCATATACAATGAGTAAACAGGAGTAAAACACTTCCATTTGCAATCTTATAAAATAAAATAAAATTCCTGGGGGCTGGAGCAATAGCACAGCGGGTAGGGCGTTTGCCTTGCACACGGCCAACCCGGGTTCGATTCCCAGCATCCCATATGGTTCCCCGAGCACCGCCAGGAGTAATTCCTGAGTGCAGAGCCAGGAGTAAGCCCTGTGCATCGCTGGGTGTGACCCAAAAAGCAAAAAAATAAAAATAAAATTCCTGGGAGAATATTTAGCAAAGAAAATGAAACACAACTACACTGAAAAGTTTATGGTGTATGATGTTGGGGCTGGAGTGATAGCGCAGCAGGTAGGGGGTTTTCCTTGTACGCAACCAACCCAGGATCGATTTCCAGCATCCCATATGGTCCCTCGAGCACTGCCAGTAGTAATTCCTGAGAGCAAAGCCAGGAGTAACGGCTGCGTATAGCCTGGTGTGACCCAAAAAGAAAAAAAAGAAAAAGAAAAGAAAGTGTATGACGTTATTAAAATTAACAGAGGAAGTAGAAGGAGGGAACTTTAAGTAGTCCACAAAACAAAAGGTTTAAGATGGTTAATAATGGTTAGTAATTTTGTAGTAACTTTCATTAAAAAATTTAAATTCTGTAATAATAATAATAGACATGTTTTAATACCATAATAATATGCAAAGACAGAAGATAGTCCACAAACTGGAGAAAGTCCTAAATAAAAGATCGGCAAAGGTGTTTCTCTATGAAGAAAAATTACAGAATCACTTGGAAAACTCTGGAGGTGATAAAAACAAATCATTTTTAGAGCAGTAAAAATTAAAAAATATTTAGGAAAACTTCAAGAACCTTATAAATGAATTTTCTTTTTAAATATGGAACTGGAGTCTTAGCAGAATGGGATTAGCTCCTGCTTTGCATGCTGAAGGCCAGGGGTCAGTTCCCTGACATTGGGATTTATTCTGGAAGTTACCCACAATGCCTCCGGACCAGCCCTGGCTCCATCCAGCACTGAATTGTGAGTTCCAAAGACAAATGAAAAAAAAAAAACAAAACGTTTTAATGAAAGTTTAGCAACATTGGATAAAAGATCAAAGCAAAGGAAATGTAAGACAAATGGTTAAAAATGTAAAAGGATATTATCTTCACCTACTTAAACAGTATTAGCATCTTGAAAATAGTAACAGCGGGATATTTGGACACACAATTGTAACTTAAATGGGTACTTTCATAATCACTTCCACAGTGTGAAGAGCATAAACACGAAAAAGGCAAGAAACTTGAACTGGAAGGAAACCTGAAAAGACCAGGAAGGCAAGAAACTTGAACTGGAAGGAAACCTGAAAAGACCAGGAAGGGCCTCCTCCAGCCCTCAAAAATCCTGAAATTTTCCTGGATGAAAGGCTGATTCCCACAAACATCTCACTGCAAGGGCGCAAGGGCTCAGGACTGGAACCTGAGGGAGGGAGGAGGAGTCTGATTTTCCCCCACATTCTCCCCATTTACACCCTCAGAACCTTCCTTAAATCTTTATACAACCATAGATACCTTAACAGACCTTCCCTAGATCTTCACCACTCAGCGACTTGCCTTCAGCCCCAGTGCTGCTTCCCAGAAACCACCCCCCCCCCACACACACACACACACCTTCACCTTCCCACAAGGACCACCAAGAATTCTTGACACCCCTCCCTACTATCCCAGGCTACCGCTCACCTCACAGTCTCTTGGTTCCACCTCACCACACCCCTACACCACACACGCTTCTGTCTCATTGTGCAGGAACACAGTCACTGTCTCCTCCACAGCACAGGGTGATGCCAGCTCAGCCAGTACTTAAGGGCTATCTCTTGATCCTTGATTGCTCTCTCTCTCTCTCTCTCTCTCTCTCTCTCTCTCTCTCTCTCTCTGTGTGTGTGTGTGTTTCTCAGTCCCTCTCTACCTCCCTTTCTCTGTCTCTGTCTCCATCTCTTTTACACACACACACACACACACACACACACACACACACACACACACACACACACACACAGTGCTCACCTCGCCGCTGCACAGTGAAGCTCTCCCCGACCTTGTAGTTGTGTTTGCAGAACCTGCGCACCGCGGCCCGCTTATGCTCTAAGGTGTCCTTTTGTCGATTCCAGGATTCAGCGTTTTGCTGCCCCAGCTCAGTCACTGGCCAGAACTCGCCCAAGTCGCTGTCGAAGCGCACGAACTCCTCTCGGTTATAGAAGTATCTTTCCAGGTAGCGCACCCGCTCCGTCCCATTGGAGAAACGACACTCATGCTTTATTTGATACTGGAAACTCACTGTAAGGACAGGAGGGCTGAGTGAGGGTGGGGACTGGGGAGAGACTGGTGGGGAACCCCCTAATCCAGCAGCCAAGGCCCTGGAGAGACAGCACCCCTGACTCAGTTTTCTTTCACTACAATTTTCCATGTACCAAGAGTTTATCTGTCAATCACCTGATGCAAGAGGGGTACCCATGGACAGGGAAAACTCCTCTGATCTTGTCCTTTGGGACTTGCTCTGTCTCCTCTGGTCCTGAGAACAGGAGGCCTGATTTGGTCCCCCATCACCTCCTCCTGGAACACCTCAAGACTCACCCCACCTCTCTCACCCCACAGACCTACAGCTCCTGAAATCCTCTGGCACTTTCTGTCTGAACATCCTGCTGACATGGGCCTCCTCTGTGAGTTCTGAGGAGACAAGGCAGATTAATCCAGTCCAGCTGAAGCTGAAAGTTAAAGAATATGGTGAACAAATACCAAACACACAAGATCTTATACAGGGCTGAGAAATGTAAGAACAAAAATGGGGGGGGGGGTTCTGTTACTGAGATTAACACAATGACCAAAATCGCATGACTGCTCTCTGAGGAGTGACTTGTAAGATGTGAGTGGAAAGGTTTAATAATGAGGGGACTGGTGGGATGTGTGTACACATGTTGAGATAAAGGGAAGTACATTTTAATGAGACATAAAGCCACTTTTGGTTCCTGGAAGATGCTCATCAATTCAGTGTTTAAACATGGGTTTATGTTTCCCTAAAATGTGTGTCCATTTACCCCAGGATGTGTACACATATCCCACCTACCCCCTCAGCAATTAACCTTTCAACTCACATCCTATATGTCACTCCTCAGAGCACACTTCTCTACTTCTCTGGCCCCCTAATGTAATTTTGATCATCCTATTCTGTGTACCAGAACCCCCCACCACCACCACCCCATTTAGTTCTGACATTTTTTGGTCCTGTATCAGTTCTGGTATGTTTGGCTTTTGTTCTTCATGTTCATTTTCACTAACTCTCAGCGCAGAAACTCCTCTCTGTTATAGAAACATCTCTCCAGGATCCGCATCCTCTCCATTCCATTGAGAAATGACACTCAAGACTATCTCAGAAACAGGAAATGTGCTGCAGGGACAGAAAGACAGGGTGAGGGTGGAAAATCTGACAGGGACGACCCCCAATGCCAGGGTGCATACCTATGACTGAATTCACCAGCACCCTAAGACTCCATGCTGCAGGGATTCAATTACCATCCACCTGCTGCAGAAGAAGACCAAGGGTCAAAGGGAATTACCCTGCTCCTGGCATTTGGAACTTGCCTGAGACCAGGAGGCCTGAACTGAAGGGTCTCCTATCACCTCCTCCTGGAACATGAAGCCTCAGAACTCCCTGACCCCCCACTTCCTACCCCACAGCCCTGCAGCTCCTGAAACCTTACAGCACTTCTGTCTGAACATCCTCCCAGGTGACCTGAGCCTTCTCTGGGGGTTCTGAGGAGACAAAGCAGACAAGTCCAGACCAGCCTGAAGCTGAGAGTTAGTGTGATGAACAAAAGCAAAACACACTAGAATTCATATAGGACTGAGAAATGTCAGAACAAAATGGCGGGGGGGTGTCTGGTATAGAGAATAACTAACAGGATAATCAAAACTACATGAGGAGGCCGGAGAAATGTGTTTTGAGAAGTGACATGTAAGATATTACTTGAAACGTTAATTGCTGAGGGGAAACATTTCAGGGAAACATAAGGCCACTTTTAAACAATGAATTGATGAGTTTCCTCTAGGAACCAAAAGTTCAAACAGAGTCAGTAGAAGGAGGGTGGGAGAAATCACAGGGCCATGTCTGAACATTCTTGTAGTGATGTTACAGTTTTGAATATAACTAAAGTTAAAGGAGATTGATGAAGAATTTTAAGATAAAGCTGTGATCCTAATAAAGTTCTGCATTTTCTTAACTGAATTTCCAAGCTCCAAGTACTGAGAATACATCAGATATTAAAAAAGAAAGAAAGAAAGAAAGGAAGGAAGGAAGAAAGAAAGAAAGAAAGAAAGAAAGAAAGAAAAAATACCAAATCACTGGAAATCTGACCTATTGAGTGAACAAGTCAGACATGCCTCCGGTTCTATAGATCAATCAGTTGCTTACAATTGGGTGGTTGAAAAATATATCATATATGTCACGGTCACCCCGTTGTTCATCGATTTGCTTTAGCGGGCCCAGTAACATTGTGAGATTTGTTACTGTGTTTGACATATCGAATACATCACAGGGAGCTTGCCAGGCTCTGCCATGAGGGCGAGATACTCTTGGTATCTTGCCGGGCTCTCTGAGAGGGGCGGAGGAATCAAACTCGGGTCGGCCATGTTCACTGTGTGCAAGGCTAACACCCTACCCGCTGTGCTATCACTTCAGCCCATCATATATGTAAGAATATAATATATGTGATATATTTATATACACATGCATGTATCCCTTTTTTGTATCTATGTTTTACTGAGCTGGGAGCATTTCAGAAAGAGGCATAAAGGGTGAAAAGTTAAAAGAATATAAAGATAAGACAGCTAGTAGAGTGCTTGAGTTGAATGAGGCAGCCAGTATTCAATTGCCAGCACCCCATGAGATTTCCCTGAACCCTGCCAGGAGTGATCTCTTAAATCACTATCAGAACCAGGAGTAAGTCTGGAGCACTGCTGGATATGCCTGACCCCTGTCCCCCAACAAAACAGAATGTAGAATTTCTTCATCAATTGGATACAATATTCCCAGAAGCATTTGTAGCAGACATGATTTATGATACAATAACAAGTGATTGAAAGTTTACAGAAGTAATGATGACCCATAACATTTTGAAAACTATTTCAATTGGCAAAAAAAATCATGAATTTTTTTAATATGCCTAACTTAATATTCAAATTGAGTAGTTTAAGGCTTTGAAAAAGAAGGATACAGGACTCCTTCGAAAAAGGGAAGTGGGTACACTGGTGATGGGTGTGCTGTTAAAATTATGTGAATGAGAAGTCATTATTAACAGAATCCCAATCAGCAAAAAGCTTTAAAAATTAAAAATGTTTTAAAATAAAAGAAAGTGATACATTTATGTAGTTATCTAACATTTTTTACTATCAAACTATAATGAGAATTAAGGTACTGAATTGGAAGGTGAATGTTTTTGTACAGAATAGTCAGTACAGGGTCTGGAGCAATAGCACAGTTGATAGGGTGTTTGCCTTGCACTCGGCTGACCTGGATTCTATTCCCAACATCCCATATGGTTCCAGGTTTAACTCTCTAAATCTTGTCAAAATTTGATGGCAACAACCAATGTTCAATGACAGATTGATGAACACAGAAGTTGTGTTGTGTTCAATGTATACAATGGAAGACTCTGCAGCTGTAAAAAAAGATGAAATCTAGCAATTCCCTGCAAGGTGGATGGAACTGGAATATACTGTAATCAGGGAAATAAATCAGAGGGAGAAAGAAAACCACCAGTTGATCTCACTCATTTGTGATATAGAGATATACAAACCAAAATAAAGGAATAGACAGTACAGAGTGATGATAATCCCTGGCCTGGATTACAAACTCATCAATGGGAGAATGGGGAGGGGAATGAAAATGTGAACTAGCAATAACAAGGGACAGTTTTGGGTTCATTTATGGTAGTCAGATGCAGTAATTTTGTACATCAACACTATAAACATTGCTCTATTCTGTTATAATTTTAAAATTATAAACATGTAAATTAAGTGGAGAGAATAAAGCAATAAGAAGGTTTTTATGGATTATAAAATCATGTTCTTGTATGTGCTAATCCTACAGACTCACTCCGTTGCTTCTGTCTTTGTTTTCAGTGTCTATGCCACACTCATGATGCTCAGGAATTACTCCTGGCTCTGTGCTGAGGAATGACTTTTTTTTGGGGGGGGGTCACACCCGACAATGCTCAGGGGTTACTCCTGGATTTGAACTGAGGAATCACAACTGGCGGTGCTCGGGGGACAATATGGGATGCTGGGAATCGAACCCAGGTCAGCCGCATGCAAGGCAAACGCCCTATCCACTGTGCTATTGCTCCAGCCCCAGGATTGACTCTTGACTCTGTGTTCAGGGATGACTCCAAGTGAGACTCAGAGGTGCGTTGCCAGAGATCTAACCAGGCTTTGCTGCATTCAAAGCTTTCCCCTCTGTATTATGCCTCTCACCCTGTACACTGACTCAAAATAAAGCAAAGAGTGACAGGATAAAGCCAAAATGCAGTAAGTCTGAAAGTTTTATGGATTATACTTTTACTTTATTTACATAGGGTCAGACCCAGGAGTACTGAGGGCTTACTCCAGATTCTTTGCTCAGAGATCATTACTAGTGAGCTTTGGAAACAATTGCGGTGCTGGAGTTTGAACCCAGATCATTCATCTGCTGTTGTGCTATCTCTCTAATGTTTATTTCATTTTTTAAAAAATAAAAAATGTGGTGTGGATATAGAGTAACGGTTCAACAGTCACTTTGTCTCAGTGGTGTGACAACAATAGAGTAATTGGTTCAACAGTCACTTTGTCTCAGTGGTGTGAGCTTTTTGCAGAGAAACTAGACTGAGAAAACTAAAAAATGTGCTTTGTAATTTACAATTGCTTCAATACTTACATTCCTATATTTATAATTTAAAACTACAATCATGTATTTATAATTTTAAAATTAAATCAGAATAGGGCAATGTTTATGGTGTTGATGTGTAAAATTACTGCATCTGACTACCATTTACAATTTTTTTGTAAAAAGTACTTCTGTTTATTAATTTATCTTGAACCTCCTGACATTTTCTTCCATTAGGAAAAGTTATAAATAATCTTTAAGCTCTGTTTTTACAGCATTTTGCAGAGGCCTACAAACCCACAGGTTTTTTAAAGAAAAAAACTGTTAGTGTTTATTAGAAGGTTAATAACTAATCAACCTCAAATATTTGTCAGAGAAAATGAGCTATGATTATGTTTTCAAATAAATCAAATTGATTTTGCAAATAAATTTTTGGAAGATATATTATATTCCTTGTTTCCTGGGAGATGAGGAAACACTTCTTTCCTCTAGATACTGGCTTGAAAAAGTATTCACATATAAAGAAAATGTTACTAGCACTGTAGCAGTGTCCTCCCGTTGTTCTTTGATTTGCTCTAGCGGGCTCAGTAACGTCTCCATTGCGAGACCTGTTGTTACTGTGTTTGACATATCGAATGCATCACAGGTATTACATTAACATAAAAAATTTTTTAAATGTTAATAAGTTTTATGTCATTCCAAGAATTTTTATAGCTTTGAGAATCCTTGAAAATGTTAGGATTTTCAATAACAAGGATGATTTATTAAAAGTTATTAAAGTGTTGAATATTAACCCCAAGTGTTTTAGGCTTCATCAGTGAATTACACCTTTTCCTCCCCCCTCCCTCCCCCAGAGACTTACGGTACTCTTACAAGCACTTCTAATACCCAGAGTTTATCTTTAACATTTCCTTTGTGCTTTACCTCCAATTCTTCTTGCTACTAAATTCCCCAAGCCGGATTTGTTTACCTATAAAGTCAAACCTTCTGACTACTGGATTTTATATCTGTAGTAAATTACTTGCTTTTCTCTTTCTTCTAAAACCACTTTATATTTTACTATAGAACAACATTTTTTGTTTAAAGAAAGACCATTTAATACTATGCTCCTAATATTGGGGAGTTAATTGACTCTAGAGCTGGAGTGATAGCATAGTGGGTAGGGCATTTGCCTTGCACGCGACTGACCCAGGTTTGATTCCTATGTCCCTCTCGAAGAGCCTGGCAAGCTACCTAGTATATCCCGCCCGCACGGCAGAGCCTGGCAAGCTCCCCATAGCGTATTAGATATGCCAAAAACAGTATCAACAAGTCTCACAATGGAGACATTACTGGTGCATGCTCTAGCAAATTGATGAACAACTAGATGACAGTGCTACAGTGCTACAATTGACTCTAAAATGTATCTATTCCTGGGCATTTGTCATAAGATGCCTTGACTCAGACTTCAGTCATGGAAGTTCCTAGCACCTCAAAAAGCTGGGTCAAATGAGGGATCTCTTGATGGACCAGGGGGAAGCAGAAAAGCTATCCTGGCTTCAATATGGAATAGTCTAGAAATCATAAAGCAAGGTCTTGATACAAGCTGAAATGATCTAGAAGACAGAACCCCTTGGAGTAGAAAAAAACTATACAGGCCTGAGGACTTATAGTCTGGAATTTACTTTAAAAGTCTGATTGGCTTTTTAATTTCTGTCTCTGGAGCCCAGAGAACAAAGTTTTGGAATCTACATTTCTTTCTGCATTTATCCAAATAAGACTTAATTGTTTGATATGTGCTAGCAGCAAGGGAAAGAGAAAAGAAATATAGATGCTTGTTATCCCAGAGCAAATTACTCAGAATAGTCTCAAACAGAGCATCTCTTTAAATTAATCCCCCCAAAAAAGTTACCTCCGTTGAAATGCTTGTAATGATCAATCATACCTACTTGCAGTTCTATACCTTGAAACCCCTCAGATGTTCTATAAGTATGCCATTCAGTCCCCAGACTCATTTTCCCTGACATTTGGTGAGTGGGTGCCTCAGCAGAATTCACATCTGACATTCCTGGGTGGGTGCCTCAGTAGAATTCACAGTAAAGAAATAGAGAAACAACTTGGACCAGAGATACCACAGCATAAGATGCTTGCCTTTTATGTAGTTCATATGGGTTCAATCCCTAGCACTCTAGGTCTCTGGTGGTTACCTGAGACCACCAGATGTGATCACAGAGCACAGATATAGGAGTAAGACCTGAGTACCAGTTACCTTAACCAGCTTCCCACCGCCCAGCATCTCCCCCCCCCCCCCCACACACACACAAATAATGAGGAAAACTGTTGGGTAACATTGCTCTGTCCTTCAAGAAGCTTAGGTTTTATCTGGTTACACCCACCTCAGTGCTCCTGAAGCACTTCCACTTCCATTGTGTTTATCTGTAAACAGTCTTCCCTATGCTCTCCCACCCAGTTAATCAGCTTTCCCCTTAATCAGACTTTGTTAATTTGTAAAATCAGTTTCCCAGAAATCTATGATTTTATATGTATAAGTGAAATATTGCCTTTTTCCTCTCCTTATGCCTTATGAATAGTTTACCTTAAAGTAATATCCTTTTTGTATAGATACAGAAAGAACGTTAACATTATGCTTTGTAACTTAGGATTTGATTGGCCTTGAATATTATTCACTCCTGGGCATCTTTCTCGACTTAAGCCTCAGTTGCCCATAGTTCCTAACACCCCAAAAGCAGGGTCCCGACGAGGGACTGAATGGGCCCAGGGCAAGCGGTGAGCTACCCTGGCAGCGAAATGGGCCAGGCCAAAGTGCCACGATTCTTAACTATAAGTTAAGAGTTTGATCATGGACAAATGCTGTCATGATCCAAGGTAACGACAAGACTAGGATCCTGCTAGGGGTGGGAAAGACTATCTGGCCTGAGCACCGTAGTCTGAGATCAAGATGGCCCTAGGAGAGCAATTCTATAAGTTTAAGATATTTCTTACTGTATCCATACAAAATGATTTATATTATATTCTTGTACGCTTGTCGGTCAAGGAGAGGAGAGGCAAGCCCATGGAATTCTGCTCTAGGGTGGGTCCTCCTGCTGAGGAAGGATCGTCCTAGGAGCGGTCTTCCCTGAGGCTAAGATTTCTACCCCTGTTGATCTCCACCCCTATTGATTGTGACCACACCTATGTAATTGTCTTCCCCAATTGCTCTTGGAGGGAGATATAGGGACAGTAGATGGGGCAAAAGGGGAGGGAAATAGAGAGACAAGGGGAGAAGAGGAAAGAATCAGAATAAACTATGACTAATACCAACCAGCCTGGCCCTCGTTCCTTCCTCCGCCTGACCATCGCCATCGACCTCTCCGGGGTGGTAGAAGGGTGAGACTACCGAACGCGGGTGGCGGGAGAGATAGAGCCGCCGCCGTGTGGGTGCCGTGCCCCCTCATGTGTGAGTTTACACAGAAAACTGTGATTATAGCTATCAAAAAGCATGGCTAACTAAAAAAATAGACTGTGGTAAACTATTTTATGAAATTTGGCACCAAGACATACTTCAGACAGTAAGATGCCTTGACTTGCTTATTACCTCTCAGTCCTTTGGAATGTAGCAACATTCACACTCTAAATTCTGCTGAGGTGTATCATTTGAATCATTTGGAATTGTTGAATTTTACCTAGTTTTGAACCACAAAACTCCAATTTATATAACTGATCATATGCTACCTTCTGTAGAATTGAATACCTTCTGTAGGCTTGAAAACTTTCTGTGGACTTGAATATCTTCTGTGGACTCAGGTCAGCAAATTGGAAGAGGTAGGAGAAAGTAATAATAAATGTAGGGATAAAATGCATTAATAAACAACACTAACCTGTGCCATGTTTTCAGAAGACATATAACTATAGACGATTCAAGAATACACCACAGTTGCCCCTTTTCTATAGAAGCAGAGAAAGTATTGTAGATCTCTGCTTCATTCAAGTACCTTAACAGTAAGTCTGATTTTTTAGAAAACCTCCAGTGGAGGGATACAGTACAGGACTTTTAAGTATTGGGTTAAGTGGAAAAGGAGAGAATAACATGGAGGAAGCCTCTTGTGGTATCCATACATATTAGAAAGAAGTATCAACACATGGGCTGGAGCGATAGCACAGTGGTAGGGCGTTTGCCTTGCATGCAGCCAATATGGCCGACCTGAGTTCGATTCCTCCGCCCCTCTCAGAGAGTCCGGAAAGCTACCGAGAGTATCTCGCCCACACGGCAGAGCCTGGCAAGCTACCTGTGACATAGTCAATATGTCAAACACAGTAACAACAAGTCTCACAATGGAGACATTACTGGGCCCGCCGAGCAAATTGATGAACAACAGGAGGACCATGACCTTGATCAACATACAGCTCATGCTAAAGACAAAATTCCAGGTCTTCTAAGAGAAGCCTTTCTAATTCCTTTTGACTCTCAATAAACTTTTTAAGAAACGGTCCCCTTTTTAAGGAAAGTTCTACATAATAAGATAATCAGTATTTTAAAATAATCATTTGAAGTTTTAAATTTCTATCTCTTCTCAATGTGGCAAGGGAAATGGATGCAAGACAGGAGATAATTTTTAGAAAATAGTTACAATGATTTTTTTGTATATGGAGATTATGATCACAGCTCTGGTTCAGAGTTAATATCTAAACTGTTTCAACTATGGAAAAGAATTGAGTCTCAATTAGGAACCGAAAGGTGATCACTGAGTTTCCATAGAGGACACATCCCGGGCACAGACAAACCTATTTCCTTATCCCCTTCCCCAATAGTTCGCCCTCAAGTGTCCACTTACATGAGGTGTCCCTGACCCAAGCAAGGGTAGGACTCAGCACCATCACTATCAGTGGCAGAGCTGACATCTGGGAGGCTCTGAGGAAGTAAAGGCACCACATGCTGGAGACCACGAGAGGACCCGGGAGAGGGGATACAGTAAATCTCACTAAGGTCCACTTTCATTCACACTCTACATATTAACAGTTGAGGAATTCATTTCTTTGCTCTGGAATTGGATAATCTCGGTCTTGAGAACCAATCAGCACAAGAGGCAAATGACATACTCAGTTACTGGTCAGAGACTCAGTTTTCAGGTCCTCTTCTGAAATTTAGAGATGTTTCCATATTAAGAAAATAGTTTTCATTGACTAATGAAAGATTTAATCCAATTGTATCTGAAATGTTTTAGTTGGGCCCCTATTGCAAGGCATCTCTGTACTATAATAATGACCCAAAATGTTGACTTTTGAGAAAGTCTGCATTACTCATGTATGTATGAAGACACATTTTTTTGAAAAATTTGTGGTTCTCTCTCTCTCTCTCTCTCTCTCTCTCTCTGTTTAACAGAAGGGCAGGTAGAGGAAATAGATTGTAAATTAGGTGACCTATAATGTGGTCTTTATTGCACCATAATGATCTGAAGTTTACTTTAAGGAAATTATTTAATATCTCACAGTTTAAATGGAGACACTGATTTGTGGGGTATTTTCATACTAAAGAGTATTGTAATTCTGTGTATAGTTGGAGGAACAACTTCTTCTGGGTCTGGTGATATTATAGCTCTTGGTTATAAAGGATAATCAGCACTCTTTTACACATATAATAAACAAAAAAAGAAGTTATTTGATAATTTTTCTTCAGTGAAAAATTTCATCAATCTCTCCTGATGCTATAACTGAGTTTACTAGCATCTACAGAATACAAATAGAAAACAGACTTAGAGAAGGTGGTCTGGGAGAATGAAGGTTTCCCAGTTACCTTTGTGACAGCAGTTCACTATATGATAAGGAGATTTTACCTACTCAAAGTATACAGGGAACTGAAATTGTCCTAGGATTTAAAATACCCTAAGACAACAACTATGCCATAGCATAATTAATGTATTATATGGAAGGTGCTATGTCTTTTCTTCTGGGGTCCTTTATGATGTTTTCATTTTACTGAAAACAGATTCCATATTGTTCACAAACTATGTTGCATTCTAAGAAATATGCAAGAAAATATTCTGATGAATATATAATATAATACTCATAAAATAAAACAATATGGATTGACCATAAATCACATATTTTCATATAATCATATATACAATAGAGTGTAGCAATGGAGACGTTACTAGTGCCCACTTGAGCAAATCGATGAACAACGGGAAGACAGTGGACTGCTACAGAGCTACAATGGAGTGATAGCACAGCGAGTAGGGCATTTGCCTTGCATGCGCTCGACCTGGGTTCAATTTCCCCGCCCCTCTCAGAGAACCCGGAAAGTTACTGAGAGTATACTGCCCGCACAACAAAGCCTGGCTAGCTACCCATGACGTATTTGATATGCTAAAAACAGTAACAACAAATCTCCATTTCTCACAATGGAGACATCTGCTCAAGCAAATCAATGAACAACAGGAGGACAGTGCTACAGTGCATATATATAAATAATTCAACTTTCAATTATATGTATAATATATAGTATATTCCACATCTCTTATTCAGAATAGAGCAGGTAGGGCGTTCGCCTTACAAGCGGCCAACATGGCCGACCCGAGTTCGATTCCTCCGCCCCTCTCGGAGAGCCCGGCAAGCTACCGAGAGTATTCGATATGCCAGACACAGTAACAACAAAGTCTCCAATGGAGACGTTACTGGGCCCGCTCGAGCAAATCGACGATCAACGGGAGGGCCTTTACCTTTACCTTTACCTTTACCTTATTCAGAATAGGCTACCACAGACAAATATAGCTGAAGCTTTGTATTAATTCATATTTCACTATAGCTCTGAAAAGCATTTCTTCTTTAAATGTGCCTCAGTATTTCTTGTAATAGAGAATTCAACATGCTGCAATCACTTATCTTAATAACTTAACTTCCGGTTTGTTGTCGATTTGCTTGAGTGGGCGCCAGTAACGTCTCCATTTGTCCCTGTCGCGTGCTAGTGTAGACCAATGGCATCTGTTCGCTCTGGGAACATGAAGAGCCTCAAACCAATCGTTCATGATCTTGATGAAGAAGTCTGACCATCTGGTAGGTGGGCGGCCATGCGGTCTTTTGACATCTGCAATAAAAACGGGTAAAATTTAGTGGATGAAGGAGATGAAAAGATACACAAACTCACAGATATTAAACAAATAAGTCATGGTGTTGTAAATTATAGCAAAGAATAATCTTAAAAGTTCTCTTCACAAAGAAGAAATGTATAGCTATATGTGGTGATAGGTACTATGTAAAATTTTTACAAAAATTATTTTATACTGCTGTAGTGGGACTCCGTGCCAGGCTGTGGGGTGAGTGAGAGCCCTCCCTATCTCAAGGCCAACCTCCACTGCCCAACCACCACCATGCTCCAGGCCACTTTCTGGACACTCAGGCCGAGTTTCATGCATGAATGAAGTCCCATGGAACCCAGATAATGCAGAACGTTGTGACCTTGGACTCTGGACTCAACAGGACCAGAACAGAGATCCTCTGCCTACTTCCCCCAATATCTGGTGACTCAGGGATCACACCTACTAGCCACATCCTGCTGGCACCAGATAATCTCCTCATCGGCTACCCTCCAGAACTCAAGGATGCTCCTCTCAGACGGGAGTATAAAAGGAGGACCCCAAAATCATGCCACTGGACTCTGTGCCAGGCTTTGGAGGTGGGTGAGAATCCTCCCCACCCCAAGGGTCCCAGCCCCGGCAGATGATGTCCACTGCCCAACCACCACCATGCTCCAGGCTGCTTCCTGGACCTTGCGTCCATGAAGGCACATTATAGAACACTTCCTACCCATTTTTCATGGTTACTATGCCATATCTGTTGGGGTTGAGACAGTAGGCAACAAATCATAGAGAGAAATATATAAATATATGCCTCTTGGAGAGTCCGGTAAGCTACCGAGAGTATCTCGCCCACACGGGCAGAGCCTGGCAAGCTGCCCATGGTGTAATCGATATGCCAAATACAGTAACAACAACAGCAGGTCTCATTCCCCTAACCCTGAAAGAGCCTCCAATAATTGGGAAAAGACGAGTAAGAAGAGGCTGCTAAAATCTCAGGGCTGGGTGGAATAGAGATGTTACCGGCACCTGCTCAAGTAAATAGAAGATCAATGGTATGACAGTGATACAGTGATACAGTAGTCAGGTAGACAAGGAAAGGCGTACATGGCAATAGAATTCTTAAGAAGTAATAAAGCCAAAAGCCCAAGACTGCAAAAAGTTCACCTTGCAGCATACCAGCCAACTGGTCCAGTAATAAGACCTGATATGACCTTCACCTGGCACCAACAGACCCAGAGAAGACTAGACCCCCTCCAAAAGAAATTTCAGCAGTAACAAAGTACCCAGGAAAGGAATTTCAAGGAAGATCATCAATCAGTCCAACTCTACCCCCTTGGCAATCACCTGAACAACAAATTCTTACCTAGCTCGAAATCTCCACATAGGGCATCTTGGGGAAAACTCCATAAGAACCAACTTGAACAAAGGAAGGGCACAATATGCTGCCTGAGTCCATGTGCTGCTTGTGCCCACGTGGTCAAGCACATGTGGTTCCCAAGCATGGTCACCTGCATCTCTGCTTTTAAGATGTGTGTGGGGGCTTTCTCTGCTTTTGGAGAAGCTCGCATTCTCTCTCAAGTGTAATATTCTTTCTCTCTCCCATTCTTTCCCTTCGTCCCTTCCTTCAAAAACCTCTAACTAAAATCTCTTTTTACTTTACCGCTCTTCTCATCTTGAAATTCTTTTCTGTGAAGTGGACAGCAATCTGGAAGCCCTGTGTCAGGCCTAGGACTGACTTTCTTTTTAGGCAAAAAGCAATTCCTTCCCTCCAAAAGGCACATGAAAAAATGCTCTACATAGCTAATCATCAGGGAGATGCAAATCAAAATAACAATGAGATACCATCTTACACCACAGAGGCTGGCACACATCGAAAAGAATAAGAACAACCAGTGCTGATGTGAATGTGGGGAGAAAGGTACTCCCTTTAGCTGTTGGTGGGGATGCCAACTGGTCCAGCCTTTTTGGAAAATAACATGGAGATTCCTCCAAAAACTAGAAATTTAGTTTTCATGTGACCCAGCAATACTAATTTGGGTCTTATCCTATATAGGCCCTTCAGCTACTCAGTTATTTTTAAGATCAAGAGATCAAGATTACGATCAGTTCTTGTGTATAAGAGCAAAGAAAATCAACTCAGTCTCAATATTTTAACCTATATGTCCACAAAGCAGAATCTCAGGCATGTGAAGAAATAGGAGACTGAGATACTTATCTTACTTTCTGTAGTTCCTATACCCTAATCAGCTCTTTGCAAAATTAAACTTTCATGTTTGAGTTTCAGTCATACAATTATCAAACACCCATCCCTCCACCAGTGCACATTTTGTACCACCAGTGTGCCCAGTATCCCCCCTCCGCCCATCCCACCACTCCCCTGCCTTTGTAGGGCAGTCAATTTCCCCCATACTCTCACTTTGGGGCATTATGGTTTACAATACAGATACTAAGAGGTTGTCATGCTTGCTCCTTTATCTACTTTCAGCACACATCTCCTATCCCAAACGATCCCTCCAGCCATCATTGATTTAGTGATCCCTTCTCTATTCCAGCTGCCTTCTCCCCCAGCTCATGAGACAGACTTCCAACCATGAAGCAATCTGTCCCCAGGCACTCCGTTTTTTTGCAGATTCTGGCTATTCTGGCTAAGACAATGCTGCAATGAACATACAAGTGAAAAAGTCATTTCTACTGTGGTTTTTTTTTTTTTTTGTGTGTGTGTGTGTGTCACATGAAAATTTTTTGTTTAGATTCACAATTTTATTTATGGGGGAGCCACATCCAGCTGTGTGAGGACTTTCTCCTGACTCTGTGCTCAAAGTTTCGTCTGGTGTCTTGAAAGATCAAACCCTGGTGAGC